CCATCTAGTCCGAGCAACAACAAAAAAATTAATTTTCAAAAGAGAGAGAACCTCAGCTTTGTCGCATGAAAAATTAGACCTTTTCATTTCAAACTCAGTGTGTAAGAATTTTAAAAAAAATATATTTAAGTTAAGAAAATTTTAAATACTTGAAAAAATATCTAAATAATTCAACCATATATAATTTAAAACCAAAATTAAAAATAAATGAAAATTATACCTCTTTACTTCAAACTAAATGTTGTATGTGTGTCAAAAGTGTGTGTGTGTCAAAATCTCACATTGACAAAAAGAAGAAATCTCCTAGTGTATATATACTAAGGAATGAAATAGGCTAGTAAAATGGGCTTAGAGGAAAAGTGGCCTCGCTCACATGAGACAAGCCAACTCAGGGCAATCGCAATTGAAATCAGTCGATTCGCCTCTTGCGCGTGAGTTCAAGAGGCACTGGGTTCCTTTTACCGAGTTATTTTTACAAAAATAATTAAATAAATAATTATTTTTAGCTTACCCAAAAAACCTCGAATTTTGCTATTTTGAGTTTGAACTTGAGGCCTTAGCAGTTTTTGGGTTTTAAACCTCCTCTAAAAATTGATTTTGTGAATTAATGTCTTAAACATTTTGTCAGCCAAACGTCTCTGGATTAATAGACGTGTGCATTTTGTTGTTTGAGGCGTGTGTAACTGAAGCATTAATCCATGTACATTTTGTTGTTTAATGCGTGTGTAACTAAAGCATTAACTGGTGATTATAGGCCAGCTTTGTGTCTCCGTCTTCGGACTATATATAGCCCTGGGTGCTGATAGAAAACGGTGCTAGCCTTTTAAGTTTTTGAGGCAATTCTCTCCTCCCTCTGCCTTTTGCTTGTGATCATCTATTCGCTTGTGCTTGTTATTTAGTTTCTATTATTCTATTCCCTTGCTATGCCGCAGGAAGTACTTGTTTAATCCTGGAGAATTGCCGGTCCATCATCCCGGTGTGTCGGAATAGTTTTTAAGGACAGTGTCCTTCTGAGCACGACTCAAGCAGCTCGTGGTTTGCCACTCACGTCTCCCACCGGTGCTGCCAACAATCTTAAGAACTATCCAACCCAATGGCGACCAACAGTGCTAAGAATGTCATTCCCGAAGGTGTGCCCAGTACGTCCCTGCCACTATTACTGTCCCCCTATCGAGGTTGTTCCTAGACATATCAAAGATAGAAGTCTTTGACGGCAGGAACTTCAAACGGTGGCAGGAACGAGTCTTCACCGTTCTTGACATGCATTATGTGGCTGCTGTTCTTGCTCAATCTGAGCCCCCTGCTGATATTGATTAGGCCTAAAGAGTTACATGAGTCCTTTGTGTGTCAATACACTTTATCTAATGATTTGTTCGATGTCTACTGTGTCTACAAAGAAGCTTGTAAGAGATATGGGAGTCCTTGGTGACAAAGTACACTACTGAGGATGCTGGTAAACAAAAGTTCATTATGGGTAACTACTACAAATGGGAGATGATCGAGAACAAGGATATGAAGGAGCAAATCAATGAATATCATAAGCTCTTGAAGGAGCTTCGTGCTAAAAACATTAACCTTCCAAATGAGTTCGTTGCTAGGATCCTGATTGAGAAGCTGCCAGAATCTTGGTCTAATTACAAACAGCACTTGAAACCCAAATAGAAGCAGCTATCCTTGACTGACCTGATCACTCACATCATCATCGAAGACACCAATCATAAGGCAATACGTGCAGCTCGAACTAGAGAAATGACATCTAAAGTCAACCTGGTGGAGATAAAGCCTCACAACAAGATGTATGATCCTAAAACTAAAGACAAAAAGAATAAAAAATCTGATTACAAACCCAATGCTTCTAACCCCTTTTTCAAAAAGAAAAGAGATTGTTTTGTCTGTGGTAAACCAGGACACCATGCAGCACAGTGTAGGAAGAGAGCAAACCGTGATAAGCCTCGAAAGCTAAATGTAAATTTGGTACAACGAGATAGTGATAGTGATGATGACATCATTGTTGCAGTAGTGTCACAAGCTCTCTTGATTTTTGATGTGAAGAAATGGGTGGTAGACTCTAGAGCTACTAGGCACATATGTGCTAGCTAAGAAATGTTTACCTCCTATAATCATGTAAAGGAAGGGGAAGACCATATTTACCTTGCTGATTCCCGAATTGCCAAAGTTCAAGGAAAAGAGAAAGTAGTCTCAAAACTCACATCAGGAAAGACTCTGGCTCTGAACGACGTTCTACATGTGCCTGAAGTTAGAGCAAACTTAATGTCAGTTGCTCTTTTAGGGAAAGCTGGGATTAAAGTGTCATTTAAATCTGACAAGATTGTAATGGCAAAAAATAATGTGTTTGTGGACAAAGGGTATTGTAATCAGGGACTATTTGTTTTGAATATTGATGAAATGAATAACACTGAATCTTCTGAGTATGTGCCTGTTTATATGGTTGATTCCTTTGATCTGTGGCATGCTAGACTATGTCACACTAGTAAAGGTTATATAAATAGGATGCAACAACTTAGACTACTTTCTGAAATTAAAAATAATGATTTTGGAAAATGTGAAGTATGTGCAAAAACTAAACAAAGTAAAAAACCTCATTTTTCTAGTCAAAGAAAATCTAAATTACTATCTTTAATTCACACAGATTTAGGCGATTTAAAACAAATTATGATTAGATGTGGTAAAAAATATTATATCACTTTTATTGATGAATTTTCAAGATATACTAAGGTGTACTTGTTAAGAAACAAAGATGAGGCTTTTGAATTTTTTTTATATAAAGCAGAGGTTAGATCTGATAGAGGTAGAGAATATGTTTTGTTAAATGATGTTTGTAAAAAAGAAGGAATTATACATGAGATAACACCTCCTTATTCTCCCGAGTTTAATGGTGTTGCAGAAAGAAAAAATAGAACATTAAGAGAAATGATGAATGCTTTGCTTGTGAGTTCTTCTGCACCTGATAACTTATGGGGTGAAGCTATTTTATCTGCATGTTTTTTACAAAATAGTATATCTCATAAGAAAACAAAGAAAACACCTTATGAGTTATGAAAAGGGTTTACCCCAAATTTAAAACATTTGAAATTGTGGGGGTGTCTTGCAAAAGTTTTATTACCTAACCCTAAAAAGAGAAAAATTGATTTTAAAACTTCCAATTGTATGTTTATTGGGTATGCTCAACAAAGTGCAGCATATCATTTTTTAGTTTTAAAAAATGATATTTTAGACCAAAAAACAATTGTAGAGACTAAGGATGCTGAATTTTTGAACATATTTTTTCCTTAAAAATTAAGCATGTTTCTAAACCTGTTGAGAATTCAGAGTTTGAACAAAATTTAAATGAGGATTTGATTTTAAGGAGAAGTAAAAGGCAAAGGAAAGAAACAAGTTTTGGAGATTATTTTTATACTTATCTAGTGCAAGATGAACTGTTAAATTTTTATAAAGTTATTTCTTCTCCTGATGCCAAATTTTGGAAAGAAGCAATTGAAATTGAAATTGATTCTTTAAGGAAAAATAAAACTTGGGTTTTAGCAGATTTTCCCCAAGGAGCTAAGACTATTAAGTGTAAATAGATTTTTAAGAAAAAATATTTTCCAGACGGTTCAATTGATAAATATAAAACAAGGCTTGTAGCCAAGGGTTTTACTAAAAAAAAAATATAGAATATTTTGACACATTTTCTCCTGTGACTAGAATCTCTTTTATAAGAGTTCTTATTGCTTTGGCTTCAATTTACAAACTTTTTGTTCACCAAATGGATGTTAAAATTGCTTTTTTAAATGGTGATTTGGAAGAAAAAGTTTACACGGTACAACCTAAGGGATGTGTGATTCTTGGGCAAGAAAATAAAGTTTATAAACTTATTAAGTCTTTGTATGGCTTAAAAACAAGCGTCTAAGCAAATGGCATGAGAAACTTGATCAAATTTTGACAACAGGTGAATTTTCTACCATTGAAGTAGAAAGATGTGTTTATACAAAACTAGTAAATAATGATTGTGTGATATATGCTTGTATGTGGATGACATGCTAATTTTTGGCTCTAGTATATGTATTGTAAATGAAATAAAAAATTTTCTTTCTTCAAATTTTGACATAAAAGATATGGGTGAATCCAAGGTAATCTTGAGTGTAAAAATCATAAGGAATGAAAATGGAATCTTGCTTTCTCAAAAACATTATGTTGAGAAAATTCTCAAAAAGTTTGGATATCTTGAAAATGCTCCTCTGAGTACTCCTTATGATTCGAGTGTACAATTAAAAAAGCACAAGGGTGACCCAATTGCTCAATCTGAGTATGCACAGATTATTGGGAGTCTGTTGCATTTGATGAACTTTGCTAGGCCTAATATAGCTTATGTTGTAGGCAAATTGAGCAGATATACCTACTGTCCAGGCAGTAAACACCGGGAGGCTCTGGTGAGAGTCTTAAGATATTGGAGAGGTATCATGAATTATGGTATATTGTATAGTAAATTTCCTGCTGTATTAGAAGGATACATCGATGCTAACTGAACTTTGGATTCAAAAGAGACAAAATCCACTGGTGGTTATATATTCACCCTTAGTGGTAGTGCAATAACTTAAAAGTCTGCAAAACAAACAATGTTTATTCACTCTTAAGGATTTTGAGTTTATTGTCATGGAGCTGGCTGGGACTGAGGCTAAGTGGTTGAAAAACTTTTTAGCAAGTATTTCGATAGGTGAAAAGCCCACACCATCAGTGTGATAGCTAGCTTGCAATAGCAATGGCTAAAAATAAGACATTCAATGGCAAAAGTAGACATATTCGATTGAGACATAATATTATAAGGCAGCTAATCAAAGATGGGGTTATCTCAATCGATTATGTGAGATCAGAGTTAAATCTAGCGGATCCGTTAACTAAACCCTTAGGGAAGAAATTTATTATTGAAATGTCAAGGGGAATGGGACTTAAGCCTGTTTGAAATTAACGATGATGGCAACCCAACCTTTGTGATTGGAGATCACATGAATAAGGTTCAATGGGTAAGAACAAGTGTTAGAATGCATTGAACGGAGGCTGAGTGAAAGCTCTTAATGTTTTCATAGTCCTTATGGATGGCATATTTATTGCAGATACACTTGATAAAAATACCTATATAAATATGGAGTGGGGCCGCTCCTATAAGATTGTGGTGAAATCTTTAGAGCATGTGTTAAAACTAGGCGTGCACATGGCCGATAACGTGCAAAACCGTCGTTAACAGCAAAGACCGTGGGGATAATCCAATTAATAAGACCTCTAACACATACTTAAGATCAGTTGGTTCAATAATAAAATTACACCAACTTTTCTGTGTGCTAAGTTCAATAATTATTAGTCTAGGTTTGGATCAAGTCAACAGACACCAAATTCGAAGTGATTATCCTCCATGTGAATAACACAGATGAACATAGATCCTTTTGACACATGTGGGATATTGTTGTACGTGCGTCAAAAGTGTGTGTGTGTCAAGATCAGTTGGTTCAATAGTAAATTACATCGACTTTTCTGTGTGCTAAGTTCAATAATTATTAGTCTAGGTTTGGTTCAAGTCGACAGACACTAAATTCGAAATGATTATCCTCCATGTGAATAACACAGATGAACATAGATCCTTTTGACACATATAGGGGATTGTTGTATGTGTGTCAAAAGCGTGTGTGTGTGTCAAAGTCCCACATTGATTAAAAGAAAGAATCTCCTAGTGATATACTAAGGAATGAAGTGGGCTAGTAAAATGGGCTTGGAGGATAAGTGGCCTCGCGCACATGAGACAAGCCAACTCAAGGCAATCGTAGTTGAAATCAGCTAATTCGCCCCCTCTGCACGCGAGTTCAAAAGACACTGGGTTCCTTTTACCGGATTATTTTTACAAAAATAATTTAATTATTTTTAACTTATTCGAAAAACATCTGATTTTACTGTTTTGAATTTGAACTTGAGGCCTTGACAGTTTTTGGGCATTAAACCTCTTCTAAAAATCAATTTTGTGAATAATGTCTTAAATGTTTTGTTTGCCAAACGTCTCCAAATTAATAAATATTTTGTCCACTAAACGTCTCCGAATTAATGGACGTGTGCATTTTGCTACTTGAAGCGTGTGTAACTGAAGCATTAATCCATGTACGTTTTATTGTTTAATATGTGTGTAACCGAAGCATTAACCGGTGATTATGAGCCAGCTTTGTGTCTCCATCTTCGGGCTATATATAGCCCTGGGTGCTGACAGAAAACGGTACCAGCCTCTTGAGTTTTCACGGCAATTCTCTCCTCCCTCTGCCTTTTGCTTGTGATCGTCTGTTCGCCTATGCTTGTTATTTAGTTTCTATTGTTCTGTTCCCTTGCTCTGCCGCAGGAAGTGCTTGTTTAATCCTGAAAAACTGCTGGTCCGTTGTCTTGATGTGCTGAAATAGTTCTTAAGGACAGCATCCTTCCGGGCATGACTTAAGTAGCTCATGGTTTGCCACTCACGTCTCTCGCCGATGCTCGCCGATGCCACCAACACTAAATACTTCGTGTAAGAAGATTTTGAATAAAGATCTGACACACATAAATAAGATTGAAATACGCTAATTAATTAATTAGCCATGAATAATTTCAAACCAAAATTAAAAATAAATAAAAAATGTTTTTTTTATTTTAAACTAAATTCAAAGATTCTTTCTGTATGAGAAGATTTAGAGAAAAGAACAAAAAACACATAAAATTAGAAGATTTATGTCTGCTTTTTTTTTTTGGGATTAAACTATGTTTGGTTGTTTGACTTACTAATGCAACGTAACTTCAATTTAAAAAAAAAATTAAGCGTGTTTATATTGAGTCATTGATCTCATTATAGATTGAATTTATCATTCCTACAATTTGTTTACCTATGTTGAATGTTGAATCAACCATCCCAATGAGTATGTGTGTGCATGTACGTACATGCGTGCGTACGTTTGTGTGTGTATATATATATATAGAAAAATAACCAACTCAACGATCTCCAAATGAGGGAGGGAGGAGAAGTATCCGCACCACGTAATCGTTTGGCGATCTTCTTTCACAAATTTCATTCATGTTTTCTGGGCGACAAGCAATTGACGTCAAAAACAAAAGGAGAGAAGAAAACAAACACGATTCGCATAAAAGAAGCTAGAGTAACACAAGCATATAGAAAAATAATAACCAACTCAATGATACGCACTTAGGGGTGTTCAATCTGGACCTATCTCGATTGGTCCGGTATTGTCCCGATCATATCGAAACGGGTCTTGTCCTGGCCCGAAAATAATCGGGACGGGATGAGACACAGGATTACCATCGGGACGTCCCGTCCCGTCCCGTCCCGAATATTATACATATTATTTTTTATTTTAAATATATTAATTATATTAATATAATTTATACTTATATTAATTATATCAATTATAATTTTAATACTTATAATTCTTATTTAAAACTAAAGTGTTTTTATATTGATAATTTTAATGGTATGGAGTAAACTTGACAATATCTTTTTTATAATATATTAATTATATTAATATAATTTATTCTTATATCTATCTATTTAATAATTTTTATTTATAACCTATTTCTTGCTTATTTTTAGAAGAGTAATTAGCTTAGTACATCTTCACTAAAGTAAAAGAACAATTATTTGATGTTGTGTTTGACTTGTCTGTTGTTGCTAATCTTATAGCATAAAGATCACTTGTATTTTTTATTATAATATGTAGTTGTGATTAATATAATTCAATAATTAAGTTTAAATTATTGTTATTTATGTACTTGTGTTATTTTGATTTTAAACTTAATAAATTATATAATTTAAAATTTTAATGAACATTATTATTTAAATCTTTTTTCAATATTATTTCATTTATCGGAACGGCGGGACATCCTGATCTTGTCCTGGTCCCGTCCCGACTCTTAGCGGGACGGGACGACTTTCGGGACAGGATAGGACACGGGACCAAAATTCAGTCTCGATCTTTTTTTCGGGACGGGACACGGGACGGGGGTGTCCCGGTCCCGTCCCGTGAACACCCCTATACACACTAATGAACAAAGCAAATGATAAGCAACCACTAGATCCCACACATTATGCCCATACCTTATTGCCCATTACATAGTTTAATGAACTAATCTAATCTGCACATCATGAAGAAGGCTAGCCACACCTGTGACAATACAAAAATATTGGTTTGTTAACGGAATGGTGAAGCTTCTTTTTTCCTGGGAAGGGCAGCCATCAAAAGAAGCCGCCAAAAATGATCATTTTCAATGTCTTGTCATGTAACTTTGCCTAGGAAAAGGATACGATTAACCTCAGTACCTCACAGTGGCATCATATATGAATGAATCATACAAGGGACAATGCAAAACTAGATTAGGAACTGCAAAGTTGAAACTGTCTCCCTTTCAAGTACATGACCTGAATAGTTCTATCCATGAAATATTTATCCATATGCACTGGCCTGCTAATTGCTATCACAGTTATCTTTTAGTAATTCTTTCTCACAAGACCAAATTAAAACATGAATAACTTTCTGATGGAAGCTTAAGTGAGAATGGTGAAGCCACCCTTAGAAACCTGCTTGTAAGGAGAAAGAAACAAGCCAAGGCCACAAGAATTATTGTTCTACCCAATACAGAAAATCCACCCTCACTTGCATACTTGAAAATTCGGGCATTCCTCTCCAATCAAAATAATTAAAATAACAACATACATTGCTTACAGGTAAAGAGCCTTCACTTTACTTTAAAGTCCTTGAACAGTTTCAACATTTCCCAAAATACCAATGACTCTGACCTTAATAATGTAGCTGCTAGACATTGAAATAATATGGCTGCTTTTTGAATTAAAAATCGATGCACAAATGTTGGGGTTAGAGCTGAGACTACAGAGAACAGTTTATGGACATTTAAGTTAATGATGCAGATTGAAATACCCAGTAACATATTACTCATTTTCTTTTAATTGAATGTAAAGAAATACAAAGGCATTGAAGTAGTAGAATATTAGGGGAAAATTTTCTACTTTTGGCATATCTAGGTGGTCAGAAAATATGAGACCATATTTTGTTCCACAGCCATAGGTTAAACATAAAAATGAAATAGTATATGTCATCAATCTAAAGATCCAGCAACAGAATCAGCATTTAAAAGTAGCGATTCAAACAAGAATAAGGAAGAGGAGAAAATTGTACTATGTAAATCCCCTTCGAGAAAGCAAACATCCACTTTCTCTATTCCGAGAACCTGAGAACCACAAGTTGTCTCATTTACTAGAGCACAGAATGAAGCCTGAATATAGCCCAATTAAATCCGTAAACATTAACCCAGATTGGAGGCGTGCGTATTGAAAACCAACCAAAAGGAGACGAAAAAATTGCAGAGCTATGAGCTTGAGCTCCATCCCTCTGATATATAAACAGCTCCAAAATAGGAATATTCAAATGCTAATCAACAATCTGGGATCAACAACCATAAGAAGCGAAAAAGAGAAGAATATGAGGCTTACTGAAAAACTGGCGCGGCTTCATCTTGAAAACGATAACTCGTAGGATCAGAAGGGGTTACTCATCCCTGCCGAGACTGGGAATCAATGAAGAAGCATAAACATTTTCTCTCTGACTTTCTTCTTCTCGTCTTCTTCTTCCTTCTCTTCTTTGATTTATTTTGTTCCCCAAGGAACAGCTTTAATTTCCACTGTGTATTTTGTCTGGAGACGCCAATGGCATCCTGTTTTAAAGAAACTGAACGGCTAGTAGTTTTTAGTGACCGTTGAACAAGAGAGATGGGCAAAGACGCGCGCTCTTTATCCGTTTGCTTTTCTTTGAACCAATTAGCCGTTTGCGTTGGAAACGGTAATATTCAGAGGCAGATCTGGGCTTTCGTACACTGATGATAATCTAATTGTGTAGGGCCATAGTTTTTTGGGCTCAGCGTGGACCTTTTAATTGAAGTAGGTATTGTAAGAATGACAAATTAAAGGATGTAACACTCAGCCGCATTTATTCTTTTATATTTTACAAAGTGATAAATCAAGATTTAAATTTTTGTTTGGAAAAGAACCCACATTTAGTACTGACAGTGTCTCAAATATAATTATTTTAAATAAAAAGATAATTGTAAGTAATGAAAAAAATAATTCAGAGAAATTCTAATTTCATCTAATGACCTTAGTCTTTTTGAAAGTTCAAGTACAATGAGATATATTAAAATAAGGGAAAAAAGGAGTTTTGAGTTCAACCTAAAAAAGAAAGAAAGAAAGAAATTGAGAAGCATGATTGCCAATATTTTGAATGTGTGTGTGTGTGTCAGTGTGTACTTTTTGCAATTTTTTTTAATCAAGATTCAATTAAAACATCACAACAGTAATATCATCTAACAATTTCGAAATAAGGGAGTATTTTTTTAATGATTATATATTTATTCAAATAAATAAAAAATAGTAATGATATTATTATAATTTAAAAATAATTCACTTGTTAGACTTTAACTAAATATATAATAACAAACATAAAATAAGTTACACATCTGATTTGTAAATCATGTTCCACCCACTTGCATGTTGATTGAGCACACATGACCAAGCAAATGTTAGTCAACAAAATCAGAATTGACAAGTATTATAAATTGATTAAGACCCTCAAAATATTAGCAAATACTAATCACAAGCGTGGTGTTGGACTACTTGTGTCGGAATTTCACGACAGGGTAATTTATGTAATCTCGTTTAATTTATATTAAAAAAGTAAGAAAACTGTAGAACTGTTTATGATAATTAATTTAATTATTTATAATAATTTTATCTGAGAATCCATCCTTCCTATATATAAAGCTAAATAAATATTTAGGCTATATATTCCCTCCAAACTTAAAAATAATGGGATGCAGATATGCTTCACATGATATCCCTTAACTCTATATTGCAAGGGACGGAATTGATCACTTTGATATATCAACATTAATTAATGTAATCACATAATTAATTCGGGAATAATATCAACTTGAAGTTAATTATATAAGCATGCACGACGGCAACATGGGAATTGGGAAGAGATGAATAAAGCAGTGAGACGTTCATGAGAAAGAAGATTAAACTATCATTGTTTTATGAGTACACTTGCAATGATTACTCATTCGAGTCCGAGCATTGATATTAAAAAAAAAAATTTGTTTGAATTTTGAAAGGTTGAGAATATGTCTTACCTGCAATTCAGAAGATTGGAGCTAAACAGTTTTAAATTGCGTTGTTAGGATTTAATGATATTAATTAATGATGCATACAAAATGAACGGAGGGAGTCTATTTCAGGCCAAACATGATAGGGTTTGAGCTTTGCTTAAACACTTGAATAATATTTTATTTTTTGTAAAAAATATATATAATATATTGAATATTAATTTTTTTGACAGTAATATATGAATATTAATTAATGCTTTAAGTCTTACTTCATTTTAGTGAAAATTAATCATTACAATTTTAATTTAATTGTAATTCAATTTTTAAACTTTAATTTATTTTAACTTGGTTCTTATAGATTGAAACTATTTTAGAATTTTAATCTTTATAAAGATTAAAAGGGTTTAAATATTTAAAATGTTAGTCCTAAATTTTAATATAGTTTTAATCTTTATAATTTTTTTAAAAATATATAGATTAATATATAAATGGTTAAAATTTTAAAAACTGAGTTACAATCGAATTAAAACTACAATGATCAATTATAACAAATCAAAATTCTTGTACTAAGTTACAATTGAATCAAAACTTTAAGAATAAAATGAATAATTTTTCCTTCATTTTATAGTAAGAGATCACATGTTTGAATACATTATATAGATATTTTCTTAGAAAATTAAAAATATTAATATTTTTATATTTTATAATTTTTAATTTATAAAATATTTTAAAATAATATTTAAAATACAATCTTGATTTTAAATTTTAAGACCCACAATTTTTTATTAAAAAAATTCGAATCTTATACATTTTTAAGTATATCAAAAAGTATATTTTATAATTTTATAACAATGAAAATAATTAATTATAAAATAAAAAATTTAAATTTGTTTAAAAAATTGACAGTTCAAGTATTCTAACAGTTTGAATAAGCTTGAAATTCAAGAATATTCAACCCTGGATTGTTTATATAAGTTTTTTTTCTTTATATGTTGTAACTTATTTGACTCCGAAGAATGCCAGTTCAAATTGAACTTGATCTCATCAAATTACCAGCTCAACAAGGGAGGGTAGAAACAGGATCCGATCAATGGGGATTGGCGAAGCAAAAAGCATAGCAATATTCTTGATTCCGGGTTCAAAGTAACAGTGAGGTGGTGTTCGTACGAGTACAAGTCCAAGCACTAAAGTTAAAGAGAATGACGTGGCAATTGCACTTGGGTGAATGAAAGAATATTCAAAATTGATTTCATCCCTTTACCCAAAAAAAAAAAAAATTACCCCACTGTCACAATTCATGACTCTTTCAGTTTTAAATACAGGGTATTTTTACGACATCATCAAAATTAAAGAGAAATAATAATCATGAAAATGATTTAAAAATAAAATAACTTTTTGAATTTATTCCTTTTGAAAAAACATGGATGTAAAAAAGTAAGTTCTAGATGGCTGTAAACAAATATTTTTTGAAAAAAAAAAAAAGAAAAGAAAGCTAAGTGATGTTTTGCTTTTTATTCAAAAATGACTAATATATAAACCCATCAATTTGTTTCAAAGAGACACTAACATATAGGATCCGATAGAGTATTGCATGCACACCAATATTTTAAGATGCAATGTGAAAATCTTTTAAATTTTCCTAACTGACTAACTCTTAAAAAAGTACTTTTTCTATTTAAAAATGTAAAAAATTTTTAAAATTAAATTCTCATCATCAATAAAGTAGTTACTTGTATTTAAATTAATTTTATTTTTTTATATTTATTTCTATTTAATAGAATATTTTATTCTAAAAAATATAAAATGATCTATTCAATAGGAATACTTTTGGAAAAAAAGTAATGATTAAAAATATCTTATATTTTTTAACATCTAACTCCTTAAAAAAATATCTTATATTTTTTTAATAGAGTGAGTATTGTTTTATGATATTTTCTTGTCTGATTTTATCAATAGTGTTTTGAAGAGGAATCATATTGAATATATATATATATATATATATGTATATATGTATGTATGTATAGTCCTCAAATCCTCCATGGTATCACCATGTAAATATTGACAAGGAGTTAGCCCAATCTTTTGCATGAAAACCGTTGATCCATCTTAATTTCCTAAAGAAAATGTTGTGTTTGGATTGGTTACCACAACTTATTCTTTCTCATTGTCTGCCCCAAGTCTCTCCTTGTCCCCGTAACTTCATATACAATTTATATTTTTATATAAACAACATTAACAAACTTGGACTCACGATTCTGATGGATGGTTGGAGGATTTTGGATCATCCAATGAAGTTCATAGTTTAATGATCAAATTCTTTCTATTATAAAAATAATGGCAAATATTATAAACAATGAAGGTTTATTCATATTATTTTGTTTGAATATATATATATATATATATATATATGTATGTATGTATGTATAAAACATTTGGTAAAGCAGCATGGGCTCTTCAGCTTTTTACTAGCTCTCTCAGCATCTTTATGCGAGATGTAATTGCTTTATTAATTTCAAACCTTTTTTAAGAGTATAGCAATATAATTGAAAAAAAGAAGATGGATCTTTCAATAAAGGAATAAGAATTAAAGCCAGACTTTTGCTCCAAATAGAGTCGCAAAGTTAAGCTTTTTCTTCAACTTTTTATCTAGGCAATGCATGCTGGCTCTTATTCAATGTTGGATCGAGCTAATCAATATTTTAAAAGGCTAATGGCCTACTTTTCCCACCTATAGGTGTGCTTTGTTTTTAAATTTCTGCTCACAAAAGCTGCCACCAATTAATCAAAAAAAGGAAAAGAACATGATGCTAATAAAGATCACACAATACTTTAATGTCATCCAGTATACTTGCACTTGCATCTTAAATTTAAATTGGATTTTTCCCTGCTTCCCAAATTTAAACAGGTTAAACATTCGGACTTGAACTTAATAGTTCAGATTATCATTATTTTTGAAATAAATGTCACTGATCTATTTAATTTTGAGGAAAAAAATTTAAAAATCTCCTTTGTAATTTTAAAAGCACATCTTTCTACAAAAAGGCACTTAAAATTACATAAACTTTTTTTATGTTTTGCTAAAATTCCCTCAATTTTATTTTTAAAACTCGTACAAACCTATTCTAAAAGCAAAGAGAACCTTATACAAACATCTTATCTATTTTAAAGCCTACATACCTACATATCATGAAGATAAATGAAAATGGTGCAATTTCGACAGCAAGCCTCGCGAGAAATTCACGTAACTTGTTGCTTTTTCTAAGAGAAGTCTATGCCGATTTTAAAAATATCGAAGGTGCATATAATTTTAATAAAATTCAATAGAATATATTAATTTTAGAATAAATGACAAACTTATGACTTCAACGAAACCTTTAAAAATCATTTAAAATTATTCTTATTGTTATTAATCATTTGGATGCCTTAGGATATATTATCTTTAGGCTGAAATTTCTCCTCTTTTTTCTTCTTCTTCTTCTTCTTCTTCTTCTTCTTACTTACACCAATTTTATTGAAAGTGCTATCAAATATTAAATGTAAGCACCTCTTAAGTAATGATTCAAATTATTGTTTACCACATTGTG